TACACCCCAACAGACAAAAAGAAACATCCTCACTCATGCACCAATAAGCAGTATTATGATGATAAACAGAAAAGACTGAAGTTGTCAAGGATTTTATTTTACTTGGATTTACAATCAGTGCTATTGGCAGTAGTAGTCGACAAAGCGCAGGACATACCACATGGGGCAAATCTCCTGCTTGGTAAAACAGAGGGTCAAAAGAAAGAGGAAGACCCTTAACTGAAAAGCTGGCACAAGAGCTGCAACAATGGGCTCACCCAAGGCATCCAATTCTGCGGCCGGGGCACGATCGGCAGTATTTCATTCTGTTGTTTATAGGATCGCTGTGAGTCGAAGCTCACTCTACAGCAGCTAACAACAACGATCACAATGCAAACCCCATGCTGAATCCTTCCAATAAAATTACCTAAAGGTTTTGCTTTACAGACGTAGTTTCGTGGCTTGTCATCTTTTGGCCAATCAAAAAAAAGTCAGTAAAACATCTCATTGGTTCATCGACCTCTGAAATCCACATTGAAGTGCAGTGCACTCTCCTTGCCCTAGCCATAGTTGGCAAGGTACAACACAAATTTGCTTTTGTTTTTTCAAACAATAAAAGGTTTTTAATCTCACTTCTGGTTGGCACCAAGGCAGTCCTCTCACCGAACACACAAATGGGCCATAAAAGACCCGGGGTCTTCACAATTTTCTATTTTACTATCTTTTGTGCCCACATTTGATTGGAGGGTTCTGCCCTCAGGTCCTTGGGAGAACTGTTGTGGCATAGGTGTGCTACGTCCATCATGGCAGGAAAGACAGGCATTACCATGCTCATTACAGACAGTGACCAAAGATAAACTGCTGGGGCTGATGAGGAGCGCCCCCTCCTGAACACATGGCTGTGTGCTGGGTGGGCATCCAAACTAAACAGGGGCTTTGCCTGTAAGGCAGTCCTTGGTTGTGAGTTGGATCTGATTGAGGAGGTTAAAGTTTATTGTGTCAACCTGGCCGATGAACAAATGTGGGATTATTGAAGGGCAGAGAGCTAAATGGCTCAGTAAGCCTCACCTTTCTAGTTCTCGGGTCTCTTGTTTTGTGATGGTCGGACCAGGGTGCAGCTGCCTTAGCCATTTCCCTGCTTCAGCTGGCAAGGCTCACTTCCTGCAAGACATCCCTGAGGAGAAGCCACTTGAACCTACCCCTGTACAGCCCTGGGTGCTGGAGCAGCCATGTGGAGACCCCTGCCAGCGCTGAGATGCTTACACGTTCACTGACTCAGCTTTCCTCCTGCAGTCGGCATCACTGCATGTGTTTTATGAGACGGAGGAGGACTTTGTGGATTGGTGTTGCACTCATGGGCTTGGGCAGCACTGAGCTGGAATGTTTTCTTCATGTGTACTTACCCTTTATATAAAACTCTCTCTTATACATATGAGTTTCAGTGGGTTTGTTTCTCTAATGTACCCAGACTAACACACTGATGGAGGGATGGATTGAAATAGACCACCAACATGTTCTGTGGAACACTCACAGGAAGAATCACTGTACACCGTTGCCTTCCTCATGCTGCTAAAACACTTACATAACCCTCTCTAAGGACCTGGTCTTATTGAGTGATGGGTTGATGGTTTATCTTCCCGGTTAGTCTATAGGGTCTTCGTTGTCAACCTCTTTATCAACAGCCCCAAGCCTGGTGCTGGGCATCAGGTCGGTCTCCAGTTCACTTACCTACAATTGATGAAAGTGGGACATTCCGATGTGCAATCAACTCTGTACTGCCACTGCAGAAGAATGCTTAGCGGAGTTCCTAGCCATCACAAGCTGTACTGAAGCCACAGATGCACACTGCTATGGCAACTGCCAATGATTCTAGATGCCCGAGTAAAGAACGTGAGGGACAGTTAACTTGTCCACGTGCTCTGCGGTGTGCTGCTAGGCTGCTTTCGGCTCACAGTGAACACTGGTAACAGAGTAGAACTGCCCCATGAGATGTTCTGGGTTGTAATCTTTACAGAAGCAGACTTTCAACTTCATAAAGAATTATAATAAGAGAAACAGTCCACTGTTTGCCCGAGGTACCAACTCCATTAAAGAGAACATCGGTAGTCAGCCATATGTCAGAGCCTCTAGTCATTTACTTACTTCCCAAACCCGAATAACTCATCCTGTCTAGCAAACCTGAAGTTCACAAAGTCTAGGAAATGAAATGCGCTTATATTAATTGTCTTTACCAGAAATCTAATGGGTTTCAGGACTGTTAAATCCAGAAGATAAAGTGATCTCTCAATCAATCCACACGCAGAGACCCTTTACCTTACATGCTCAAGGACTCCACACACACCTTCCAGGCTCCAGACATCCTGAAAGTACCTCAGTGGTATTACTGCATTTCCCAAGTGCTTCATCTCTGCCTCATCTCAAACAGGGAGAAGTGTCAAACGCAGTTACAAGGCTGCTGATTAGGTAGCTGTATCAGCAAAACAGACACACACTTTCACCAGGAACCAAGCATTATGCTAAGCCTGTTGACCTGAATTTCATTCTTTCATCCCCACAAAGCCTAATGAGATAGACTGTCTTTGTCTCCATTTTACAGAGACAGCTGGCAGTGCCATGAGCAGGAGGCCATGGATCCCAGACCTGGTCTCTCTGGCTCCAGATTCCACATCTGACGGCATCCCATGGAGTGGGGTTTACACACGTGATCTCACGTGGGGACGGGAGTGAAGAGCAAGGAAGCGCTAGGAAATCAACAGATGATGGAACAATAAAACTTCTCCAAACAGAAATAATACATCAGCAGAGGGAAAAGTCCACAACGGAAAACATGGGGCAGGAAAGCACAGCTGTTCAGTGTCCATCCAGAACTTTCCGTGAGCGTCTCCATGCGCATGCGGGAGCAGAATGACAATAGCCGAGTTTACTGTAATGTAGAGGGAATGCCCTTTGTCACTCTGATTCCACACTCAGCGAGGCACAGTGGTATTACAAGTGTAATTTCTAGGATGCTTCAACGATCAGAAGCAGATTCACCAGGGAGAAAAATACACAAGATAAAAATGTCCACAATTAGAAGTATCAAGCGCGATGCATCAATATCATGCCATATGAACATATTTGATGTCAATTAAGTTGGCATCAGCTTATAATTAAAAGCCTGGTCATTTCTGAGTAATTAATCAAGTTCAGTCCCTATATGCCCACTGGGCCAAGAAATGGATGTACCAGAGTAAATTTATCAAGTTAATAACATTAATGTATGAGGCCATTTGGCAACCAACCACCTTTTTCCTGGGTCACCCCCACTCCCTTGGAAACTTCCAAGATTCCGTATCATTTTCCCATTAAGTAAATGAGAAAAGTGATGCTCAGGCAGCTTTAATAACTGAACTCTGCACCGCGGATGTCCTAAAGCACAGATGAAGAGGGAAAGGGAGCATAGTAGCAATCAAGAATGGACCACGTGACCGGGACACTCCTCTCCTCCTTCCACTTGCCACCAACTACAGAGGTCGCAGCTGACCCGCTGGACCATCTCTTCTCAGTCATTGAGAGGGGGCAGCACGTCAGCGCTTCTTGACAGCTTTATTTCGTACTCCCTCGCGATGAAGCAGTTAAAAACCTTTGAAGTAGCTCAGCTCATCTCTCTTCCTAACTCTATTTAACAATCTTACCCCTTCCCCTCACTCTCTTCCACTAAAATCTTGAATCTGCTAAAGTGTAAGGATTTTATTAGAATATAGGGTCTTGGCGGTAGGGGGTGAGACAAAGAATAATTATCCCAAAGACCCTCCACTTCATTTCCCAACAGATCAGGGTATGTTTTGGCTGCAGCTAGTCTTTGGTTCTCTGTCCTCTCCCCCCATGCTGACAGTGTACACCTTGCCTGTTATTTATAGCTGGTGCTTGGCCAGATCTGCTGAGTCCTAGCACGGCTGCGGTGGAAGTGACATCAGGGACAGCATGGATCCCCAGCAAGCTTCCTTTCCATGGTCAACTCTTCCAGACTTCCGGCTTCCTTAAAGTTCGGCAGTGGCTCTGCCTCACTAAACCCAGTGCCCACAGGCAAAGCTCGGACCCTCATGCTTTCCACCCTCCTCCCGACAAGAACTCTCAGGAGAAAGAAAGCTCGTGACATGTAGGCGAAGCCAGAGACCCATGTGCGTGTTCCCTTGTCCCTAACTTAATTACCTCGGTCTTGATGGAGAACTCTTCGACACAGAACTTGGACTGTGCTGTCTTTTGCATGCGTTCAAGTCTGGATGGCACAGGAAGGATTTATCTTTTGCTCAAAATCCCTTCAAATTAAAAAACACCAGCCCAGAAAGAGACAGACGTTTACCTGGAACAAAGCTCCCCTGGACCACCTCCTTGTACGCCCACCAGCCTTCATGGATTTTGGGTGAATTCTGTTGAGCTGTGGGAAACACAAAGGAGAGACACTGAGGTGGTGTGCAAGAAGCCCTGTGCCCAGGCTGCACAAGCACGTGGGTGAGCACACTCATCACAGCACTCCATGCAACAGCCAATCTCCCCCTTCCCTTTTTCGGATAGATCATCAACCTGTAAATAGAGTGCACTGATTTTTAATCAGAAGGACTTGAGATTTTTCAAAAGAGGAGAGAATGACACTGTAATAGCATATGTAAGCCTACTTGAATTCCTGCTACTTATCTTTGACTGTCTCCTACACACACACACACACACACACACACACACACACACACACACACACACACCGATGGAATTGTGGAGAGGAGGCACATCTGTCCACTGGCCAGGCAAGAACTCTACCCATGCAAGGCCACACTGGGACTGATGGGGAGAATCAGGGAGTTTGCTGAAAGGGTCCAGCTAGGAAGAGAAAGTGTGCAGTCGGTCACCTTTCCTAAGATCCCAGGGGAAAACAGAAAATAGAGATCCCTATGATGAGGGCTCATGACAGAGTGTGACAGAGAGAACACGCAGTGTCGTGGGATGCTGTGAGCTCAGACTGACGTGACCTTGACCTTTGTGACAGTTGACAGTGAGTGGGGGTAATTCCATATGTTAGAGTACATACAGTAAAATATAAGCGACACTGAACTTACACTGATGCCTGTATTAATTAAACTGCTTTCGTATTTTAGTCCTCAGTCAATCAGGAGGAATATCAACCCCATAAGCATGCAGCCAGTACATGGGAAGGGCTAACCTTCTCTTTATGGTCCCTCTTTCCGTCTCTCTCTTTGCTCTCCCTCTGCAGAGGCCGAGCCATGCGGCTAATGCTTCTGGTCGGGAGTGGATGCATACAAGGCAAGGCGGAAGAAACCAAGGGTTGGGCTGGAGAGAAGGTTTCAACATTTTTATTTTTCAGAAACAACGCCTAATTGAATTTGAGTTACTGTCTTCCAAGTATTTTCCCACAGCACGGAGAAGCTCCTCAGAGCCCTGAGGGTGGTAGTGCTGCGGATGAACGAAGGAGGATGGATGGCACAGGCCCAGTGAAAGAACCCCCGCCACTTCTGGGGCCGACATGGGGCTGAAGGCCCCGGGCATTTGCCACGTGCCTTGGACGGAGTTCAGCTGTTCTCACGGCATTTGAGGAAGGCAGTGAAGGCAGCTGAGCGACCATCAATGGATCTATTCTGGGGCAGCAGGCAAAGGGGAAGCAAGTTCAAAGCAGAGGCTGCCAGGCGCTGTCCAGCTTGGGAGCCAAGCGGAGATGCCACAGAGGCCCTTGCTATTGGTAGGAGAAAGACAACACACCTGCAACCCTGTGCCATCACAGCCACTCCCACTGGGGGGGGGTGCTATGGAGGGTGTCTGAGGCTATGTTTATGGGAGCAGGCAGCCTTATCTTTGTCCCAAGGTGCGTCTGAGATGCCAACTTGCCAGTGGCCTAAATGGGCATCCCTGCCAGAAAAAGACAGATCTTTAAAGTGAACAAAAGTCACAAGGTTAGCAGCTCCTCGGGAGAAAGATGAGGCTTTCTAGTCCCCTAAAGGGTTACAGTCTCAGAAACCCACAGGAGCACTTCTACCCTGTCCTAAAGAGTCACTATATAGTTGGCATTGACTCGGTGGCAGTAAAAGAGTGAGTGAGTGAATGAGTGAATGAGTAAGCGAGTGAGCAAGCGAGAGAGCGAGCAAGCAAGTGAGCGAATACACCTTTAGACCTTACCAGAGAGAAAACAGGTATTAATTATATGGCTGCAAATTGCACCAACTCTGTAGCATTGCCCTCCTGTCCAGGAGGATGGCCTACTGAGTAACCTATCCTCTTTCTCTTCCCTAATGATGTGGGAAGTCACAGTAGCAGCAAGAGGGTGAACCCAAAGGGCTTAGAGCTCCTTAAAATCAGATGACCTAGAACACTCGGACCCATGGCCGCTTTTGAAGCAATCATCTGCAATACCCGCTTTGCCTACCGTTCGGTAAAATGAATAGCAAGGTAATCTATTGAGAGAGAAAATAGACAAACTGCTACCTTGCTCAACTCCAGCCAGCTGTGTGCGAAGGAGCACATCTCTCTAGCCTGGTAAATATTCACATTTCTAAAAGTCCCAAATCCGTGAACTATGGCCATCACCTCACAACTTAAGTCAGAGATAAAGTAGGACTGGTTCCCTTGATCAAAGACTTCTGAGCTTTAGCTACACCCAAGTCAGGTGTTAGCCAATCAGGACTGCTGCTGCCACAGAACACATTGAACTACAAACACAGCCTCTCTCTACTCGGAGTCAGTCACTTGGGAAGCCAGGCTTCCTTGCTCGGAGTGCTGTACTCCCAGCAAGGCTCAGCTCACAACTCGGGCATTTTGTTTTTTTGGTAATTTTGTCACAATAATCTTACAAAAACCACTGTTAGAGATATGTTCACACACTATTTCAAAAATAAGTATAGTGTTTTAATGGTAACACAAAAGAGAAATCAATGTAATTTTTATTGAGACAGTCTGTATTTCAATACTTAAATACCCAAACATTCTACACCAGAACCGAGATTGGCAAACTATTGCCTATTTGCCCAATATGGCCATGGCCTGTTTTTGAACAACTCGGAAGCAGAGTTTTTTAAACAATGCCATGACTATCATATGCAAGTAAAATTTTGCTAAAGATAATGTAAATGGTTGCAGGCATAGAACTGCCACAGATTCAAGCCAACTTCCAAAGAAGGACATGGGGTGGATGCACTCGTTCTCCATGTCAGGTGGATGCTGGCTGAAAGCAGAGCACACCAGACAGCTGTTGGCCTGTTTTGTTATAAAGAGATTTAACTGTGCTAGACTAAAATACAGATAACCTTGCAATGAGTGACTCTTCCAGAACACTGAATCGCACACGTGGGACATGTGTGCATAGACTTAGAGGCAGCTGTTGAAAAAGAACAAGGAGAAAGTGTCAATCTGACCATCAAGAAAGGTGATTACTTATTTAATCGATACGTTGAGTATATGTTGAATAAATAATCAGAGAGGATGGACCCATGAAGAAGAATGGCATAAAGTTTAGAAGAAGGCTCATTAATAGCTTGCAATATGCAGATGACACCATCTTGCTTGCTTAAGGAACAAAGAACTAGAAGCACGTGTTCACTATTGTCTTCAGAACGGATCGCACCTCAACATTAAAAAAACCCCAAACCTTCACCACTGGACCACTAGCAACATCATGCTAACAAGAGAATAGATTCAAGCTGTCTAGGATTTCATTTTACTTGGATCCACAATCAATGCCCATGGAAGCAACAATCAAAAAATCAAATGACAGTAAGTGTTGAAAATCAAGTATGTCATTTTTAGGAGTAAGAGATGCCTGACCCAAGCCATGGTACAACAGAACTTTAAAATGTCAAGGAAAATTTCAACTTTTAATTCCATCTTTCCACAAATTTTTTGGAGCTCTTGTATTCTTTCTTACTGGTCTCATATACATGCACAAGCTGGACAAGCAGGAAGACTGAAGAACAGATGCCTTTGAAGTTTGGTGGTCGTGAAGAACACTGAATGCAGTACAGGCAGCTGTCTTGGAAGAGGTACCGTCAAAGTGCTCCTTCGCAGTGAGGGTGGAGAGACTGTCTCAGATACTTTGGATATGTTATCGGGAGGGACCAGTACCTGGAGATAGACAGCTCACTGCCACTGAATCGATTCTGACTCATAGTGACCCAATCGAACAGAGTAGCACTGCCCTTATAAGTTTCAGAGAAATAGAAATCTCCCTGGGAGTAGAAAGTCTCCTCTTTCTCCCAGGAAGCAGCTGGTGGTTTCAAACTGCTGACGTTGAGGTTAGCAGCCCAACGTGTAAGCCTCTGTGCCACCAGGTCCACCCTATAGAAAAAAACATCTTGCTTAGTAAAGTAGAAAGCAAAAACCTCCCATGAGCTCTTGTCACAGTGCGTGTCACTGGGATAAAACCTATCGATAACCGAAGATGACCCAAGTTCAGGCACTGTTTGCCTCTGCTCTAAGTAAGGTCAGGAGACACCAGAACCAACTGGGTGGCATCTAATAACAACAAAACAAGATAAGGATTTTATTTTTACATTTTTTGACTGGTTAGAAAAAAGTAAAAGAACAATACTTTTCAGTGTCACATAAAATATATATGAAATTAAAATTTTGGTCTCAATGAAATTTTGTGAGAACACAATCACACCCCTTTATCTCCCTGTTCTCCGTGGTGGCTGCTGCCCTCGTTGGCAGAAACTAACAGAGTGACAGGGTCTTACAGCTCACAGAGCTCAGACTAGTGGGTAGGTGGCCTTTTATCAGGAATGTTTGTTGCTTAGTCATGTGCACAGATCATTTCAAAATACACAGTCAGCACCATGATGAAGCTGTGATAAAAAGGAGAAGTGGAAAGAGTAGAACGTGTGGAAACACAGATTTCACTATGGAAAGGCAAGGTATAATGGGCCAAAAGGAAAAATGAAGTTCAGATACTTAAGTGAAATGGGTAGAAACGATGCCGTTGTATTATATGAGAATCCAGAACACCGTAAGTGTCATTGCTCTCGGTGGAGTGATTTTCCAAAAGAGGGAACAATCCTTGACAACATTTTAGACAAAGAAAGTACACGCATACCTTGTGTTATTGCGTTTTGCTTGATTGAGCTTCCAGGATATATATATGTATTTTAATATGGAAGGTCTGCGGCAAGCCTGGGTGGAGCAGTCTAGCAGCGTTATTGTCTCCAGCACAGTGTTCTCACTCCCTGCCTGTGTCACCCTCGGGCAATTCTCAAGCATTTCAAACTTTTCATAATCGACTGCACACTCAACGGGCTACAATACAGTGTAAACATAACTTTTCTATGCACCCAGAAGCCAAACCACAACAGCAAAATTGTGATTTGCTTTATCAGGATAATCACTTTATCTCATGGGCCTGGAACACGACCCCCAATCTCTCCCACATAAGCCCATTGTAAC